GGAAACAGGAGACCTATTTTTTTATTCTCTAGGGGTATGAAAGGTCGAGAAAATGTAAAAGTAGAGAGTCGGCCGACGGACCCGGTTACCATAGTTTCTTCGCTTACACTTGAGAAGTAAAAATTGGTCGAAGGTTACTTCGATAGAACTTCCCTCGCCCTTAAAGTACAGTCCAACAAATCCCGCTTTGAAAAATTATAAAAAAAAATGTTTTCTGATAACCTTTATATATAAAGTACCAGTGGTGTAAATGACACCTCGAGTAGATATACGGACAATTTGAAATATATTCAAAGCAAAACCAACGCAAAAGAGTGTATTATTATCAGTATACATCCTTAAGCTCCAATTTATGTTTATACATCGAAAGAATCAGTTGTCGCCTCAAAACAGCGGATTAAAATGATTAATTAACCCACAATAGAACAAAATATTTTGAATGTGATTATTATTCTTATATGTATATGTATAAAGACGTGGGTGTTCCCACATTTTCTAGAAAATGAAGTTCTTAATTCGATCAATAAAAAATTGATGAAGTATAATCCGACAAATCCAGCTCTTTTAAAAAATTATAAAATGTGATTTTAGGATTTTCGTTTTATATCACTTAGAAATTAGTTTGATTTGAATGAGTTTGACTTCTCAAGATAGGTAACTAAAATTATTAATTAAATCACAATCAAAATGTTATAAACAGTATAATTATTATTTTATCATTATTATAAAGACGTGAATATTCTCACATTCTCGAGAAAATGGGGTAACTGACTCGTTTTTAATTTGATCAATAAAAAATTTGTTGTATAATACTGGTCACAGCACAAAAGAAAAGTTGTCACAGCGCATTACTAGTGCAAGAAAAAAAAAGGAAAGGGCCAAGTTGGCTTCTACTCTGTGTTGGTAATATGAGGGTATCATACCGTGCAATTGTTTTTACGAAAATTTGAACGTTAAGCGATGATTTTATTCTAGCGAACGACTTAAGTATGGACTTTTATTAGCACTTAGTAAACAAACAACAGAATGTCATATAAAGAAACTTTATTTCTCCTCAATTTTCTGGCATACCACAAAGCTCAAATCTTGGCTCGTTACTGTTTTTATTACATATCAACGTGCTGAGTGTTAGAAGTTTTTTTTTACTCTGGAAAATTCTGTGGCTCTGCAAAATATTGTGGATGTTACTCTGGTACATACAGCCTCGGCCAAATAAAGTTATATTTTTGGTATTTGCTCTGCATTCGTAATTTCGTAGGTAACAGTTAAATTTTTAACATTGCTAGAAAATGGCAGACACTTACAGAAAGATAATAATTTTAGTCTCATGTACTTTTAGTAAACTACATAATAACTAGGGCAGGGTGAAAATAAATTGTAGTAATATTAGACCCCATCCTGACCAACCTTCTCAGTTTCTTAGTGGCAATGATTAGACAGACTTTAGCATCCTTACGGTAGTCTTAATGGACGGCCAAGCAATGTAACTGTGGAAGTTTCAGAGATTATTTAATACTCCTAATTATCACCAACAGACGACAGATGATACACGACACACGACAAATGCAGTATTCATCAAAATGATTCTGCTACAAAACTTCTCTTGGTTGGGATGCAAAAAGAAAAAAGTCTCGATAAAACTTTTCGTTGGTAAATGTAAAAGTTCTGAAACTATGATACGTATGTTTGTACTTATGTAAAATTACTCAAGATAATAAGTATTCAATAGCTGTATAATATCCATAGTTAACGTTATCGAAATGATGGTGGGTTGGACGAAAAAATAATCATGTGTGCCAGACTGTTTCAGAATAGTTTTGATTTTTTAAATAACTTAAAATTTGCTTAAATAAAAAACCAAAACTGTCTTAGTTATTGATGCCAGAGCAGTTAATTTGATACGCTTCTTTATACGCTAAATTAACTAATTAAAAAATTTATCAACAAACAGCGATACCGATTATGTTTTCATTTATTCGCTAGGATGTGGTTAAGAAATCACAATCTGTAGCAATAAGTAAATCGGTTTTGTTGCGGATATTGCGAAACAAACACACATAAAATTCTTTGAGAGCACCTCTCTTAATTGGGTGTTCTATTTTCGCCCTTAGTCTAAAAATCCATAACGGGACCCACGATACGCGGTCAACCACCTACACACATGTTCATACACCTACATCGTCGACTAATTGCAAAATGAATAATTATGCAAAAAGCATGAAAACATTATGTATGTTAACAAATCGCTCTATGAATGAATTATTATGTTTTCAGAGTGAGATGTCTTTATATATCGCAAATGAATCGAAGAATCGGATTTAAATTAAAAAAAAAACACATTCGTTAAAGTTTTCTGACGTTATAGGTAAGAAAAAAAACTTTCAGGATTTATATTGGTAGTAAAGTAAAATTATCCATCAAAATTTTGGTGAAGACACCTCAAAAATGTGCTAAATAAATACTTCTATGTTTGTCATTTATTAATCCACCCATATTTTTTATAAATATTTCTCATCAAAATGATTTTGCTGAGAAAAACCGTGACATGAATTGGATCAGGCGATTAAGGGCGTGTCAACTCTTCAGACCAATTTTTTACATCCGTTGTTCTTAAAATACGTACTAAAATATACTTGACTAAATCTAATTTCTTAAAAGCTGATTATGATTAAGTTTTATTTTCATTCCCTGCAATCTTGCGCAAGATTTTTTTTCAAATAAAGAAAGTAGTGTACAGAAAGATCACCAACCGCAACTGGTAGTAATATTTCCTGAAAGGCTCCTCAAGAACGATTTTTAAGTCAGCAAATTGAGCATACACGAGGGTAATTTGGGTGTAGCAAATTGACATCTTCCAAGTGAATCAGTGGGCCTGCTTTCCCATAATATATCTCCATTAAAAAAGGGGTGAAAAACCATGTATTTCAAACTCTCGAGTAGATATGCGGAATTGTAGGGTCGAAATTGCTCACAAGCATTTAAAATATGGCTCCTGATGGCATTTCAGCGTGAATAATATAAACCCTGAGAAGCCGGCACTGCTCAGTTTTCCGATATTCCACAAGACATCAATAGCCTACGAAGCATAAACGGAGGAGAGTGGAAATTGATAGCTTCATATAAATCTAACACAGCTTCTGCGGTGACACCTGTACAAAGCCTGTCGATCTGCTTCCTGGTGCTCACGAACAGGTGCCAATAGGTCTAAACTTTACAATGCTGGAGGTACGAACGTTTAGGGCCGCACTTCCAGCAAGGACTCTCGAGGGTGACATTTTTCAATCCAACTTTTAACCGAAACGAAACGCTCTCACTCGTAACGCGATTTCGTCAAACTACAAAAAAATTTATATGTATTAGCGAGAAATAAATTCCCGGCAAAACGCTGATATAAACTTTTCATTTTTGAGGTGATGATCTAATTTAAATACCATTCTGATATCGGCGAATACTTTGACGAGGGTTGTTGAAGTTTAGCACTTGTTTAGGTATTCATATTCAAGTTAAAAATATGGGCAAACACGAAAGGATCTACATGTTATGCGGATCAAGTTCTAAATTGTATTAGTCAACACCAGAGGGTATTAAATGGGATTTTATGCCGCCACTTTGAATCGATAGGAACCTCTACCAGTATTTCACGTGATTACAAATAAATCTCAACTTAACAAACTAAATTACTGTTAGGTAAATCGATTATAACAATCCGTTTCGAATTATGTCGCGATAACTAAATCCGACAAATTTTTCCTTTTAGCGAAGCATTAAAATTCATGCAAGATACTAGACACAATACTTTAGGAAAAAGGACAAGATTTAAGATTGCAGGAGTGGTACTAAAACTTTCTGTTAAATGTTCCGGTAAAAAGTTTTATTTTAGAATTTGTAAGTGCTGGGATTCTTCTTTATCGAATTACGGAAAAACCTACACTTTTATTCGATGTTATAAATTAATTCTTGTCTTCTCCCGAGATTCTTTTGGTTTAGTGAAATTGACAGGAAAATTTAAATTATAGATAAGGGGACAACGCTGAAAATGTCTTAATCATCACATTATGCAAATGAATTAAGACGCCTTTAACAAGTATTTCATCGTTATCTCTTCAGTTAATTATTCATGCAAATGGAAAATGACAGTTTTTAGTTCACTAATTGATACGTTATTAATAGTTTTTTACTTTCTCTTAAAGTAAAACATTTTATTGGGTAAAGTAAATTTGATAATGTCTAGACGTTTGATCAAATAACCATCAATAACCGTAACAAACAAGAGAAAATACACTGCTAGGATGTGGGTAAAAATAACACAGTAGATCTCGATTAACGTACTAAATTTGGTATTATCAAATTAGAAGTATGTGTATGTAAAGTCAGTGACATTTGACGGTCAATAGAATTTTATACTTCCCCTCTTAATGCCTACTAACTGTTTCGTCCTCAATCGTTTCATCCCCTGCCGTTTTGTCTTCGATCTCTTTTGTCCTCGACCGTTTCGTTCTCGACTAGTTTCTGATCCGTGACGTATCTGAACCCTATTTAATCTTTACTGCTTTTATTGTGGCTCCAGTACTATATCTAGAAACCTGTTTAGCTGTAAGGTATTAAGATATAAATAATTAAAAATTTCTTTGTATACAACAATACATTTTTTTCTTCAGTGTAATTAGACATGGAATGAAAAATTATCCAGTGTTAGTAATTAAGGGAAGAACTGTGAGAAGAACAGTGTAGACCTAGAAATTATAGCATGCAAATTCATCTCTACCCATCAACCTAATATGACTACCGATTATATGAAAACTAATCTACACTACTCTGATCTAGTTTTGCTAAGCTGCTCTGATTAATATGATCAGACTGTTAGTTATACTTTGTTCTAATTAATTTAAACAAGTGTGTGGCATATTGCTCAAGTAAATTTGTTGTCAATAACATAATTGCTGACTAAGAGAGTAATTTTTATGAAGGAAACTCCTTGAACTTTGTTAGTTGCTCGATAAGGTGTATTTATAACGATGTTACTGATGTTGTTGCGTTAATACCATGATGAATCTCTTAAGTTGTTGTTTATTAGCAGCACTGATCCTCGGAATTCAGGTAATATAAATATATGCAGAGTAAATTGTGTTAATTAATTTATTACAATTTATAAATTAGTCTACAACAGAAGAAGAACGGACTAAATTGGAAGAGCTACGCGAAGAATGCTTGAGTAAAGCCGGAATATCTCATAAAATAAATCCTTCATTGCAGGAAAAACAAATTTACAGCCTGTGTTTTGCCAAAAAGATCGGTTTTATTAGCGAATCCGGTGACATTTTAACCGACGAGGTAAAAGCAAAATTGAAGAAAAAGATTAATGATGACAATAAAGTAAGTGAGATCCTAAAAAAATGTCCCGTTCAGAAGGACACTTGATGGAATGTTTGAGTACAGAAACTCCTTGAAATAATTATGGTTGCAATAAACTGAGACAATATTTCAGTTAATTGAGTAGTGTATATGTAGCATTTTTTATAGGAAAATAAAAAACGCGTTTTATCAATCTCAATTTAAGTTTAATTGAAATGTTTGTTATGTTTATGCCAGGACTCAAAAATGTTTAACTGAAGTTTTTACAAGATGAGAAGAGAATTTTTTTCTTTGTCCTTCGATTACAGCTAATTCTGCGTGCATGTATAGGGTAATTTTCTTCAAAATTACTTTTACAAACCAAATGTAATAATTTTTAGAAGCAAAAGAAGGAATTAATATTTCAAAATTACCGCTTTAATCTCAGCTGCTTGGTGTGAGTAGTTTTATCGACGTAGTAACCACTCGTTATCTCCGATTGTTGTAAAAAATCTGCCCTTGGGCTGTTACACTTACGCTTACACTTTCCGGGCAGTAATGTTAAATTGTAACACGAATGTACTTGTTTTATAGTCACAGCTTTATTCATCAAAATAGTGTAATACAGCAAAAATCATCATTTAAGTTTAAGAAAAATGCTTGCTCAACGTACACACAAGCACGCATATTTTCATAAACTTAATTACAAAAAAACATAAAATAATGTCACATATTAAAATATCCATCAATTAAATTCCGCTTGAGGGTCCTGCCCATTAGCGTCTGCAGCCGCCTCCTCTGCAACCCCTGCAATCATCGCTGCTCGAAGTGTACGAATCCGTGAAGCTGGAGGAACCATCAGAGCAACTACTGTAACTAGTACTTGAACCCGTACTGGAACTGTAGTACCCACAGCGGTAGTTGCTGCTACTGCGGCACGATTTCGTTGCACACTATAAAAGAGAAAAAAATTAGAACTTGCTGTTAACATTATTTCGCTTACCTTAGAAGTTTTCGCAGGTTTCTTAGCCTTAGTTCCACACGGAGCACAACCTCCGGCGCCGCAATTACTTTTCTTCGACACTTTGGTTGTTTTCTTGGTCGCAACGGGTTTCTTGCTTTTTTTTGCAACTTTGGTTTTCGGTTTTGTCGTTCTCGTGGTGCAGGAACCACAATTAGACCGAGACGTACAACCAGGCATAATTGATAACACCAAAAATTAAAATAGTTTATGTTATCTTGTTCAACGACGACGAACGACTGAAGGTGATTATCAGTGTTAGCTGTTTTATACGGGTGGTTTTTTGTTTGAAAAAAGCACCTCGGTTTCGGGTTTTTGTGCTGATAATTTGGAGATTGTCCTGTTGTTTCAGCCCAAAATCGAATGCATACATTGTTGAATTGTTAACTTTAGATAAGGGGTAGATACAAGGATTATCATGGTTTGTTTTCATCAGATTTAGGATTATCAGAACCAAAAAAGTCTGCCGTTGTTTTCGTGATGATGGCATTATTAGTCCATTTAGAGGAGGCTGACAGTTGTTAAATGTTTTGATCTCACAAAGCAGCAAAGCATTAATCAAAATTAAACTACTCATGCTCTTCAAAAACCGACGCCGTGTCATAATATTATTAAATACACTAACTTCAATTGTGTACCGTAAAATGTTCATTTACTGGTATTTTAACAGTCTGACTTAATAAAATTTTAGGTTTAACACAAATGCTTTACTTCGATTTCAAAATAAAAAAAAAAGTTATTTCACAAAATCCTTTTGCAATTTTTAGTTTTTTTACGATAACCCGTAGACGAATCAAATTTAAAAATCTATGTGTTCGTTTGTATGCAGCTTGTCAAGTCGCACTGAATTTGGTATCCATACTTCGAATACATTGTTTTTGTTGGCAATTTTAACAATGGAATCGATATTACATTTCAAAAAACTATAAAAATCAAGTTAAATAAATATTCAAATTCCAAAAACATAAAAGTGTTAATATTTTCCCAAACGATTTTATTCTGTAGTTATTAGTAAACATTGTTGCAACAAAATCAGCACAATATTTGAGGAAAAGTCTATAAACACCTTCATACAATCGGCGCTCCCTTTTTCTCCTGATAGATACGTAGTACAGCTTCCATATACTTTCATTTCGTGACTTTTACGACCTTTGTTAAAGTAACAACTTGTTACATAGTAGATAAAAACGTAATAAGGGAATTCATTGTTTTCATTAGGAGATACAATCATTTGTTTCATTTCAAATTACAGCTAATTGTAAAAATTCTCTCAATGTTTGTCTATATGTATAATTTAGTAAACATTTTAATAATTATTTAAGGAAGATAGTAATTCACTTTTTTAGATGAAGAGCAGAGTTAACTTTTTTCGGAATCGTACGTTTAGATACGTATATACTTATAATTAATTAACACTCTTCTAATCCGCCTCTTGAATATATTGATGTGGTTGGAAAAGTTGTAGTAAACAAGCTTCCATTTTTAGATAATAATTGATCATCGAGTCTTAAAGTCAGCCTCATACCACTATTTATTTTCCAAGAAATATTAATTGACATCAGTTCTGCATATTGCTTTACAATTATTTAAATACATCTCTTAACAATAACATATTTTCTCCGTAAAACATTAATTTTTATAAAAAAAACAGTGCGATAAAGAAATTCCTTGAACTTTATGAGCAGCCCGATAACAAGTGTGTATTTATAACGATTTTAGTGATATTGTAGTGTTAAAACCATCATGCATCTCTTCAGTTGTTGCCTGTTTGTAGCTGTTATCCTTGGCGTTCAGGTAAAATATGCACCTAACAGAGTAATTTATTTATTACAATTTAAAAATTAGTCTTTAACCGACGAAGATCGTGTGAGATTGCCAGAAATACGTGAAGAATGCTTAAATAAGGCCGGACTAGCTCATAAAGTGATTCCTACAATTCAAGAAGAACAAATTTACAGCCTTTGTTTTGCCAAAAAGATCGGTTTGATTAGCGAATCCGGTAATATTCTAACCGACAAGGTCAAGGCCAAAGTGAAGAAAACGATTAAGGATGACCATAAAGTAAGTGAGATCCTAAAGAAGTGTGCCGTTCAAAAAGATACACCAGAGGCTACCGGTTTTCACTTGATGGAATGTTTGAGCACAGAAGCTCCTTAAAATGGTTGTAATGAAATGAGACAATATTTAGTTAATTGTTTAACGTATTTATATGTACATGTTTATAATTGTTACATTTTGTCAAGGAAAATAAAAAACGTTTTTTAGTAATCCCCAACAATTTTTTTACTTCGTTGTAAATAATTAGGATGTTTACAAATTTTATAAATTCTTTTAGTTGTTTATTTCTCAATTCTTTTAATTTTGATATTTCTAAAATAATTTTGTTCGCAAAAATAACGTAGGTACGATAATTTTATTTTACCCAAACCTTTAAAAAAATTAAAAAATAGTAAGTACAGTAAAATCTAAAATATGAGAATTGCTATAACAAAAATCGTCCAAAATTTAAGGACAAAAACGATAAATACCTATATAAAACCAGCGTTTTTTTCTACCCCTGACGGATATACAGTTCCTATCATCATATACTTTCCTTTCGTTCATTTTACGATCTTTGTTAAAGTAACAACTTGTTACACGGCAGATAAAAAAGAGTAAGGAAACTCATTGTTTCTATCAGAAAATATATTCACTTGCTTGACTTCAGCTATAGGGAATTGTAAAGTTAACGTTTCAAGGTGTAGTTACCTACCTATTATACGAAAATAATGAGCGCGGTCTTTATAAAATATACACGCCCTTTGAATTTCGGTCTATAGGTTTTTTGTTTTAGTTTGAATTTAATCAATTCAGTCGGTGTGTGAAAAGCGAGACAGAGAAAATATAAAACTGCATTGCAACAATATCGATAACTCAATTTTGTGTTAGTTGAGTCTTACCATTTGATGTGTTAGTTATTAATAGATTTATATTTCTTATCTAGATGATTAAATAACGTTTCAATCTGCTTGTTGTTGAAAAATGTTTGTAATTACCGACACTATTTTTATAAAAGCGATCATCGAACCTCAAGGCGAGTTCGAGATAATTTTTCTCAAGAGACAATAAAACACTATTAGAAGCAGTGTTTGGGCGGACTGTAATTAAACGATACAAGGAATAAAACTCCGAAACCGCTCTTCAGATAATTATAGGATCGCATAGGCGACATCGGTCCATTTATGGTTTTAGTTTATATGTGAAGATTTATTGACTCTATACATATTAGCTGTTCTATTAATTAAGAAAATATCTGTTAGTGTATAAATTACTTATTTCATCTTGCCCATGAATTTACACACTGAGCAAGAAAAAAATATAAACCAATTGTTATCCAACTAGGCGTATGTTTGCGTTTTGTTTTATTGAAGGCTTTAATTAATTACAAATTTGCTAATTTATACAGCGAGAGCGCAAATATCTATGCTCTACAGGTGGAAAATGTTGATGTAAATATTTCAGACATTTTGGATTTTTTTTTGTTTAAAGAGAAACGAAATCAAGTACCTACATATTTTAATTAACCTTTTTTACGAGTTATTAACTACCGAAGAGTGAAAAGTCTGTATAAATTTCTTTTAGAACAAATTATGTCTTGCATAAAGCATCGCATTGAGGCCGACCCTTCTTTTGAATTCCTCGAAGAACTCATCTCGCAGGGAATTTTTTTCCTGAATTTTATAATGAACAAGTAGTAATTCATTGTATCTGGACCAAAAAAGGGTAGGTAAGCCAGGAAGTTGTTTAGGCATACTTTAGGTAAGGAATCTTGTACGAGATAACAGGTTCCGGCCGAACTTTGATTAATTTTTAACGAGAGCTGAAGTTTATTAATTTTTAATGATGCGTTTTTTTATTTTGTGTGCACATCCGGTTCACCGGAGAGTGTTGTAATTAATTAAAATAAGGAAACTTACTTAATTTCAACAGATTCTCCCGTTTAAACGGTTTGAGTGGGTCGTTTCACTGAGGGCGAAAAGAAGGCGGTTTTATACTCAAAAACAAAATAAAATTATCCCTCTGCAACTATTATGTGAAAACTTTTCAAACTCCATTTCCTACGGAAATGACCAGCTACGAAATTTCTACATTCAAAATTAAGAGGCGGTCTGCGCCTGGCCGAGAATCGATATTAAAAGTTCAGCTGTTGTTTTTTTAAAGGCTTAAGTGCGGGTAACAGTTTTCTGCGAGAGATTAGAATTTATACAGAGAGGGAAGCCGACACTAATTACCTCTCATATGGTAGAATTTACGGCGTATTAACCTTAAAAGTTTAATAATCAACAACAAGCAATCTATGTCAAAAGTTTTAATGAATTCTATAATGTACACTGCAACTTCCTAGAATAAAATACGGTTTCCTAAAGACTTTGAATGGAATTTTACGTCTATGTTTAAAACTAACCCGGCTTTTGATCGCTGACAAAGTAATTGCTATTGCGAAATTATCCCTCAAAGGAATTATGAGATATAAATGTGTTTCGCAATTTTGAAAAGTTGCCGAGTTCAGTGAAGGTTTAGTAAATCAATTGAGTGCTTAATGAAGCGATTAACCTGATTATGTGAAGCAGTGTTAAAGCTTTTAACTTAATGTTTAGCATGCTTGAGTTTTATGTCTTTACTAGCTCGGATAGAATTTTCTCGTGATATATCTTATTTGAGTGAATTATAAATCTTGAACATTGTAAAACGGAGTGCACACATTGCAATTAATTTAGGATCCGCTTTTAAGCTCTCGCATCATGTTTAACTAAATCCTTCCAAAAAAAAAAACTCTATACTTACCGGGATTATAAATAATATTTACTGCAAGTTTTGTGGAAGGATTAGACTGTATTACAAAAAATATTAAGTAAAACGTAAAAACTGTGCAGAGATGTTATTGATTTTTACTTGCATTTTCAAAGATTTATTTTCGTTACGAAAAATTTAAGTACTTACTTAAACAGTAGTTTATCCCAATTATGTTTAATGTTTACTATTGGTTCGGCTGAACTTCAGAAACCTGTCGTGCTCTGATATCTGCCAAAACTATGAGTTACAAACCTACCTTGTGAATATTTTTTTTTTGTAAAAATTGCTAGTTTAAAGTGGATAGAAATTTCTAATATGCTTTGTGAACACTACCTCGATTAAACTTGGTTGGCTGAATATGCTACACACGCAGAACGATGAATTTTATACCTTCGGCCAAAAAAGAAAAAAACGTAATTTTAATATTTACCATTATTCATGGATTCCAAAATCCATGACTAAAATATCATTCTGTTCTGGTTGCTACATATTTTCACCCTCAAACTCAAAGACCAACGTGGCAAAAAATGTATAAATTTACTTGTGCAAAACGTATGTGTATAATATACACTTGCGAATGTCGGTAGGTGCAGGTGAGTTATTTTAGAGAAAAACAGGTAGTATTATAGCTGCAATATTTTGACAAGCAATTAGTTGCCTGTAAATTGCTTGGTACTTTTTTTACTCCACTTAATGGATAAACTAACCTCATTTCAAAGCAGCTTACCTCGCACGAAAACAAATTGATGAATTTCTGGCAAAGTCTGAGTAATCATGCACTCTCAAAAAACTGGGTGTTACAGGTCAGATTTTCGATGAAGATTTATAATTTTTTCAATGACGTTACCACTTCAATCGCGACGTAACTGAGTTTCCAGACTTTTAGGAAAATTAGACTAGACATTTCTGAAATAATTCATAAGGCAAACAGCTTCATACATTAATCTTTTTGAGACGCCAGTTAATCAATGTTGCATTCCAAGGCATATTTCGTAATAACGCTTTTTCAGCGTTTTATTTTTTAAATCATCACTAATTTTCATTAAAAGGTAATTAAGCAAATTTTTAATGGATTGCAGATTAAACTAATCAGCTAAGATTTTGTGGCCTTTTTATCTTAGAAACAGCTTTCAAAGCTTCGAAAGCAGAGTTACAATGATATGTATTGTGTCAATGGCTGAAGGCAGAAGAGAATGAATGTAACATCCTTTCAGAAATACCAGCTATGATTGTTGAGTTTGATTTTAATTTATTAAGATTTAGAAGTATAAGTTTGAACACATTCGTTATTGTTCGCTGATGAAGGGTAATTTATTTTATATTTTTTTAAATTAAAGTGATTTGATTTGCACCAAAAACTGATTTTATCTGAAAAAAGGAGTACTATTGAAAAAGTATTCGATTGGTAGCACTTAATATGTTATTAAATTAAGCAATTACTGTATGCTCGTATTTTCACTATTATTTAACAGAACTTCTCTCAGGAAATTTAATACATACAGTGAATATACCTAGCATATACCAGCTGCAGGACGTTGTAGAGTTTTGATCCGTTACATTAGTTTTAAAGCGAGAAAGTGGATACGTTTTAATAAATTAATCTGAAATATTGAGGATAAAAATTAAATGTAAAAAACGGAATGATGCACAACATGTTTATTCTTAATAACCTACATTTTTTACATCAAATTTATATAATTACTCCTTATTTATTTTTGGTAAGCAAAAATAAAAAAAATGTCTTGTTAAGTTTCTTGAACACGTCAAAATGACAGCCCCAAGCATTTGAATCAGGTTTGGCAAATCAGAGAAAGAAAATTTTCTCAGAATTGGTTAATTCTACATATTACCAACTCATACAATACTGTTAACTACGCTGTATTATATGTATTATAAAAATACTAATACTATTAATAAATAAAAAACGATTTTGTTTATCGAGCCGTGTTAGCACTGGCAAAGTAACTTTTGCTCTTCTGAATATGAAACTGGCAAAATTTTTAATGAAAATCGTTGATGGGCCATTTAATAAAAGAGTTGTATTTAAATAGCCGTCTTTTTAATTATTTCAGAGTTCAAAACTGAAAGTTATGTCTTTAATTTGTTGGCTCCAAAGATATTGGAAAGAGTAGATAGCTACAGTATGTCGTATAGCTTCCAAATACCGAAAGTGTGACCAACAATCAAAGATGAGAGGAGAGAATCGTGTGAGATGTATCCCCCCTGGTACAGTGGCGGATGTGTTTCAGGAGCATCAGTAATACTAATGAAAGAAATAAAAACAGTCATTGGTTTTTAATAAACAAAATTTGATTGGTTAGTTCACTTCTCACATGTGTGCGTCTCTGACCATTTTTTTTGTTGCTTCACGATACTGGTATTAATGATTAAAGCAAATTTTGGGGTTGGCAACTCTGAATTATTTTACAATGCAATGTTAGCATGTAAAAACCAATGAAAAAATGGCAGCTACTGAATTAGTGCCCAGGATTTAAATTTGACATCAAGCACATATGACATCATAAAATTTTAAATATGTCACCTACTTCAAAATATTGTGACAGCAGTAATGTTTAATTACGCCAATGACTCGCTCGAAGCTTATCCGTGTAGACCGTGCATTCATGTGTACAAACATGATACGAGCACAGCAGAAGGTTGTTTATGTGAATTCTAACAAATGAGCATTCTAGAGCTGAGCTTAGTCAAGCCGAGACAAATTGAATTCTCCAGTAAGACTAACCTTCTCCGCACTAACTTACGTGTATTAGTCACAAGCCTCCCTTTATCAAAAATATTTTGGTCCATACGGTATATGTTTGTAGGTGTATTGTGTTAGATGTTTTATTGCATAATCTATTATAATGTAACATTTTATTTCTCATTAACAAACTCTGGTCTTGTCCCTTCCTGCCAAGACGTGCTTCAGATCTTATCGTGGTTCTTACCGAGCAACAACGATTGAGCACAGAAAATTCCAGTTTACATTCAGCCAGATTGCACAAAATTCAGGAAATTCACTCGTTGTTGGCCAACATGGAGCAAGGCGGACTTTTCTGACTAAACCATGCATGTTTGGGCGATGCAATTTTAACTTGAAACCAGAACTGTTTGAGATAATATTGTTACGTTGAATGGGTATTTAAAATCGGCGTAGATTAAACTCAACAATTTATTTCTTGGTAACTCAAATTTACACAGCGATTATGCACAAAATAATTCCGGCCCAACTTGTCTGGATTTTCGCGACACTCGCTGGACTCGACTCGTTGACTGAAGGTGGCCACTATTTAACCCACAGTTCCGTGATCGAGGTCTTTCTGGAATACCCATCGCGACCTCCGCTTCCAGGCTTTTCTTTAGCGAACGGGCGGCGTACATACTAGAACCCATAGGCGTCGTACTGGGGCGGCGTATGGGTTTCTGTCGTAACAATATATGTATTAAACTATAGCCTAGATTGATTTTTTTAATAAAAATGAATTTTTATTAAAAAAGAATATTATAGGTAGATGAGAAGTAATATTTTTTTATTAAGAAATCAGCTTGACCCAGAGTGGCAATCGAAAAAATTGACGAATATTGGCAATTAGAAAACGACGCAATAAGAAACCTTCGAATAAAATGTATAAAAATGTATATAACATTAGTGTCTGTTCAAATGATGAAACATGTTTCCAGTTATTTAATTGTTTTTTATGCTATTTGATTTTCTTCTTTATTGTCTTGATATTAATAGTTTGTTACATATTAGACCTTTTCAACATTTCTGATATAATTTCGCTGTAAATTGGGGCACACTGTATCCTGTAACATTACCATATGCTTGCACCAAAAAGTTGAGTAGAATCATAGAAAAACGGTTTAAGTTTATTTAGACAGAGCTTCCCTCGCCTTGAAGTGCAGTACATCATACCCAGTTTTTTCGAAGATTCTAATTCTTTTAAGTTAAAATAAAAATGTGTACATAGTGTTAAAGTAGCGGTAAAGAAGCATGCTATGCCTATGATTTAAGAGAGTTTTTCCATTACAAAATCTATGATTAACATTTTAGTAAAGACATATATATCAGCAGCTTTTCTTTTTGCTCAAATTAAAAACAGTTCATCCTATTTTACAGAAAATTTGAGAATACGTGTCTGCGGATTTTCGGAAAAAAAATTGTATAACATTTTGCAAATTAACTCCGAAACTGCAAAACCAAAAGCATTGAAAGGTTGAAAACGCTTTAAGGTTCAAATGTATGTGTTTATGCCTTTGGTTTATGAGTGCATTCATATTTTTTAGGATTAACTATACAGGATGAGTAAAAATAATTAACGAAGCAATCTATCATTGATTAAATCAAGTAAGGCTTACCACGTTTACTCGAAAATTTGAATATACAGTACTCTTGTCATTAGTAATACACTGTGTTTATTGAAATTGATATATCTGTCCTTGATAAGGTGTTGATGACGTCATCACAAAACTCTTTTATAGAAAAATTCACTTGAAGCACACATATAGCTTGCTCCTTTATACTTTAACAGTTCACACATATTTTTATTTTAACTTATAGGGGTGGTCATGAAAAAAAATAATTTAAGAAATTAAATTTTATGATTTTTCGCCTGAATTTCAGCAACAATTTTGCAAAAAAACCAACGTTAACATTTTGTCCAAAACGTTTTGTTTTTCATTTGTTTCAACATGTAATCTTGGATTACACATTTTATTCGAATTGAAAATATAATCAACTTCACCCTTAGTTTATGAATATTATCTTGCATAATTTTGTCCACACCCTTAAAAAATTAGCTAGACTGTACAGTTTAAAATATTATCTCAAAAAGTTCTCGTTTCCAATTCGATAGTACTTATTTAATAAACGTGTAAAAAAAATGTGTCTACTTCTTGCAAACGACCTTTCCTTTCATTGTAAGCAACGAAAAACGCAATTCTGTAGCTATTTAAACGCCTCATATCTCAGTGAAATATATAACTCAGAATTTTAACACAATAGTTGACCATAATGAGTTCTTACTTTTTAAATGCCTTAACGTCTTCTGTTGCTAACTTTGTCGCGTGCTTTGTGGAAATACGTTGTCGCTCTTTCGACACTCATCAAGTATTAATGAATATTGATCGGGACCCATGATATAATAAACTCTAAAGATAGTCTCTACGATGATCAAAGAATGTAAACGAAAAACGAATATCGTTAATATTCTTTGCTATAGTGGAATTCAGTAGTGTAAGATTCAAACAATCAGAGAAAAGATACCAGCTCAAATAATTGTAATTCGTGGTTCGGTTTAATGACAGCGTTACTTTATTATTATTATTATGACCCACCACTGACCCGGAAATGACGGCATTCAGGCAAGACTTCTATCATTACGGGTATTAAGACCAAGTAATGATATGCATTGATTAGATTAACAAAACAACTTTCGAGATTCTAGAATTACAGCATACAAATTAGTCTGCTATTATTCTCTAATCTCACCCCATTCCCAAAAGTCTAGCGTAACTATTATTATTACTATTACTATTGTGAAAGTTTATTATTATTACATTTATTAATCAGTAATAAAAAAAAGAAAAACAATTTAATAATCGTGAAAAATGTACTTAAAGTTTCCAACACTTTGTTTTAATTTCAAATATAAGTAGATAGATATATTATCATTGTCGAATATCTGAACAAAACAGGTTTACTAAAGTTACTCATATCAGGCCGCTATATTAATACAAAAATGAAGCAAACTATTACGAACATCTGACAATAGATTCATGCATTAGCTAAAATTCAACTTTAATCTTCGCTGCTGTCGACATTTTGATTTGGGTTCGCGATATACAGTAATTGAATCTGCCGCCCACTTGTCTTTCGCATCCATATATTGACTGTTTTAAAAAAACTTTGTGTGCTTTGATATAATTTCTGCCGGCTAGTCCACACTTCACCAGTTTTTTTTTGAGGACACTTCATAGTGGACGGGTTTTCGTTAAATTTAACAAATTGTGATACCCGATAATGAACACAAAGAGCACTTTATTTATCTGATTCCAGGGAATTAGGCGAGGAAATGCTGACTGGAGGGTCGAGTGTTCGAAATTCCGTTGCCTTGTTCTGTACAATTATATTCGCATCATTCATTGGTTTAGGTGAGTATTAACCCAACAGTTTTTTGTTATCGGAAAAGCTCAGCTGAAAGAAGCCGAAAGTGGCATTTTACCGTGTGCTAAAGACAAGATTGCGGCGTACAGTGTCTCTAAAGATACCACTTTGGCTCCTAATGGCCTTCTTAAATTCTAAATCTAAGAGTAGCAGTAACAATTCACGAAACTGTATCGTCGGAGTAAATCTGTTGATGAAGAGGAGAAAAGGAAACGCGAGAAAGAGTTCGTACATATGTATTAACTTACTTACCAGGATCGGCAGTTAGCCTAATGTAAGCTTACGCACAAATTTTATCTCGGAATCCTGGATTTGGTGGATGGTCTGTTTCCTGTCCCTATCGGCTCAAAGTTTGATTGCGTTCTTATGATTTTATAAACTGATTGCTCGTTCGCCCTGCGAATAAATACAGATGGAGAGGTGCCGAAACCGTCTCGTGCAGAAAATCCATTATGTTTTTGTATTTTTTAAATCTATGAAGAAATTAGGTTTTGTTATATTGGGTTCTATTTTCTCGTTCGGATACTTTATAAGAGTTGATCCAATAGAAACACAGAACAATATTTACCTCTGCGTTAAAAACAAATGTTTTTAGAGAAAATAAAAGTCAACTTGCTTCTTTACGAGTTTATTTGTTTTACACATATTACAGAATACATATGATTAGAGCGTAGTTTAAATATTATTTTATAATTTTATATTTAATAAACACATTAAAGAACGAAATTTCGAGTGCTTTATGTGTGAATATTGCAAGCACATTTTCTTTAACATTAATCCTTTTATTAAACTGTGACATTTTAAACATGCTAACAGTAAAATGTAATATTAAAAATTACAGTTAGGTAGTTAACATCGTCGGTTTAGTTCCTCACATTTAGCTCATTTTTTTATCAGTGACTATCAAAACATTGTTCACAATAACCAACACATCGGATTTTAAACGCCACTGTTACAACTTCTTCTAAAATATTAATAGCTAAATTAACAACTAATTTGGCATCTAAGTTTAAGGGATTAGTTCAACTTCAAACTCGGAGCTTTAAGCTAAACTAATTGCGGTTTCCAGGTAGGTACTCTTACATTTACAATTCTCTTTATTTCTAATCGATATGTACTAGAAAAGCGAATAAAACCATCATTAACATATTTTATGCAATATTCCCTAAATATGTACACATCCTTCCACGAAACGTCAAACACGTAAACAAACTAATACAAACAAAGGACATCAGCACATGAAGATAGTAGGAACAAATCCTCATCTTTACATTATTATATTAATTTATCCATTAAATTCGTTGTGATAAAATCTAAACCTGTACAAAAAATAAATGTAACAATCAAAAAATTGCACTACGTTTGTGTTTTGATTATAAATATTATTACTTGGTCCGTGCATTGCGTAATAATTGATTACATTAGAATAATTAACAGTGGATATTACCAATAAACATCCAAACACAACATGTTTGTTTGAAGAAGCGATTGAAAATTTGCAGAATTAAAAAACCAACAATTAGCCTAAATTGTGGTGTCGTTTGCCAAATACAATATAACGTAAATACAGAGGAAATTTAACCAGCAAAATTCCAAACGGACCAATAGACGAAAAACAACGATTAATCGATCATCTGCAACAATGGTGAGTGATTTTCTGGCATCTGAACAATTTTCAATCGCCCTTTTATTCATTATGTATTAAATAAACTTTGGGTTAGTAATTGTTAAACGACCACGCATTGAAATTAAATCAAATTAAGGTTAACAGCTCCCGTAATGTAATCTTCTCTCAAGAGAGGAACCAATGTTGTAGTGCGCCTGGAACAAAACAAATCGTTTAGTGTCCCCGAAACCACAAGGGCAACACGTTCTTTCTGCTTGTCAGATATTTTTCAGCTTTTTTCCGAATCGTTAGTTGGTTTATCGTACAAATTCGATTACAAGGTACGTGTAGGATGAAATTAGGGTTTGCTTAATTGTTGGAAAAATATTATTGCTTTTTCATCATGCGAAAAATTTAATTAACACTCTATTAAATTGTGGCAATTTGGGATGGATTTGTTTTTCTTTAATTCTTTAATATACCAAACCCTGCGAGCAAATAAACAATTATAATCGAACGATGAAGTAGAATTTGTAACCATTTTAAATGTGTTCAATATTATTAACATGATTAGACTTAAGTTAAGTTGATAATAAATAGTGAACTAGATCTAAAATTAATTAATACTAATAAAATATATTAATTGCAAACATTGTTTCATAACTAATACACACAAATGTATGCAGCATAAATTTAACCACAATATTTTAGATTGAGAGCTTTTTGTAGTGCTTAATAACATATTAATAAAGCTTTATTAAATGTTTCAAAGCAATTAAATTGTCGGGAACATAATAGCTATATAAATCCATTTGATTTCTATTCATTCATTCAGGATAATAAAATAGTGAAAAGTTTTATAAAATTGTTCCGGATTTGAAACAATAATAATCACTGCGGTGGACTCATAAAAACGGTCTGTACGCAATAGACACAGTATTATTAAAAACATGGATACATTTTTAACACCACAAATAAAACAGCTTGTAAACTCAATAAATGTCACGCAAGATTTGCCAATAAAATCTTGAGATGACGTCATCAAGTTTTTGGAAGGGATTCAATCAGCTTGGTGATTTATCACCTTCACGATAACCTTAAAACGGGTGAAAAATTTCAAAGTAATAGATCATGTGGTCCGGAAGAAAACGAAATGCATGGGGAAGAGTCGTGCAAGAAGGAAATCGATAAACCAAAAGTGACAGTCGATAATGGAAAAGAATGTGAACTTTAAAAAGTAAAAAGATTCGTATTCCTAACCATAGTAATAGAAAAAAAATTGGTCGAAAGTTGTTTCAACAGAACAGAGTTTTTACTTTACACAATTTTGTGATGACCTCATCAACATTTTTGCAAGGACACGTATATGAACTTGAATTGGTGCAGTGTAGTACTTACTAAGATAAGACTGATTGTGGCAAATTACAAACCCCCTAAGAAAATAGAGGGCTGGTGGGAATAGCTAGTCTTTGTTAAAATAAGATTGATTATGATAAATGATTGAACAATATTAAGAGTAATCACGGGAATGAAGAGGCGGTGGGTGGGCGGGGCTATTGATTTCTTATAAAAGATTCTGTATGAAAAAGTTAATCTTAGCCCCGCCCACCCACCCGTTGTCTAATTTTTTTCTTCAGAAATAAGAATAAGTAGTAGAACAAAAAAAATTACGATTAATGCTTTTTTTTTAAAGCCTACGTTCTATTAGTTCCCATTCTCCCTTTACAAAATAACATATAATTCACCATTTGATTAATTTTTTGTAGTCCGAATGAAAGATGGATCTCAACTGATGAGACATCAAATCGTTATAATGAGAACTCATTAATTTTTTTGAGTCACCTGTGTAAGCAAATACAAAAAATATGAATGGAATGATAAATCACAAGCATAGACTCATGTTATTTTGTACAATTTAGATAGGATTTATTCGGCAAATTTTGAGCTGACGTAATCAATTGTTTGGAGGGGATAAATAAATATAATTTGATTAAAAATTTATGATGCTTATCCTAACTTTAAAAGATGTGCAAGATTTGAAAACATTCGGTTTGGCAGATTCAAAATTAAATTGCAAAATGTTGTTTTATAAATTTTGGTTCTTTGGGGTAAAAACTCAACACGAAGTCATTAACTACATGTGTAGGGCTATGTTGTTTTATACTATTTAAAACCCATTTACTATATAGCATTTTGAAGTGACGTCATCACATTATTGGTGGAGATGAGTAGACAAATTTTGGTGAGCGTTTTACCATCTACATGATATTCCTAATATAAATACAAAATTTGACAACAATCGGCCCAGTATTTTCGGAGATTGATTATCTCTCTAATAAAAATCTGGGACGGCAGACAGACGAATAGGCGGACAGACGGACAGACAGACGAAAAAGGGAGACCTATTTCTTCGTACTCTAGGGGTCACGAAAGGTCGAGAAAACGTAAAAGTAGAGACTCGGCCGACGCTTATGCTCGGAAAGTAATGAATAATAGTTTTTGAGAGAAGAATAGCGAAAGGAAATAAACAATTCAGTAGCTTAAAAACACTAATGGAATAAAAGTATGTATCAAGGAGGACAAAAACAATGATTTATTAAAAAGTGATAGATCTCCAGAAATATTCGCACTAGAATTTTGGGTGTTATAAAGAATGGAAAAGAATATGCTAAACTGATGGGAAAAAGTATTGAGAGTCATTTTCCGACACAGAAGAGGGGTTGTTAAAAATGACAAAAAAAGCAAAAATTTCGTTGTTACAGAGAATACAGTATGTGATTAGGATACGTAAAAATAATGGTTAGGAAAACAATGCCAAAGTTGGATTTGATGAAAAAACTAACTGGGACAAGACAGAAGACGCTTAAGAACAGCTCAACATGCGATATGCACATATTAATTTTTTTTAACTAACGCGTCTGAGTCTGCGCACTCTGTTTTTGATCATTGACACCTTTTTTCAATTTCTCTAAATTTTGGTAATTTGGAAACGAAATCAGTCATAATAATATACATATTAATTTCCAGTTTTTGGAAACTCATTTGATTTAAAGTCTACTATAAATCGAGTATCAATGGGTCGAGCCACCGGTCCTGGAACGAAATGAAAGTGTATGAATTCCTCAAAAGAACCCCGGCCATTGTTCATTTGTGATCGGCAGTTATTAACCGCTGGTTGGGCCCGTCCAAACTCGATTTATAAGGCTCTAAATCAAGTGAGTTTCCAAATACTGGTAATTAATATCTACCTTATTTTGATTAATTAACGTTTTCAACTAGTACAATGGTAATATAAAAATTAATCAGTAGTCCTTGAGAAAAAGAAGCTGTTGATTAAAATTGTCAAATTGTAAAAAAGCATAGTTGGTGTGCCCACGCAAATGAAAGGTTAGTAAAAAAAAATTGCAGATAAGCTAAGTTTTAAAATCACTTAAGTTAAAATAACATCTAATGAAATAACAAAAACAAAATAAAAGTAGTGTACGTGACAGTTTAAAATTTGATGGACTGATACTAAAATAACTAAAATAATGTATAGAGTTACAAATGGTATAGTTATCAAATAAAAAGCAAGACAAAATTGGAGAATAATTAACTAATGTCGATAGAGACCGAATAGTTTTAAAGTGTGATCCAAAAAGGTGTCCTAGCAACGTGGCGTTTCATATTAGTTTAGATATTATCCTCGGTCAATTTATTAACTCTGTAGAATATCATAATGGAATAAATTCTGTGTACCTATTGTCAAAGATAACGAAACGTGTTTACTAGTTATATTGTTAATTATTTAATAAATTGAGCTTCATTAAATTAATTTTGACTTTGTAACAATACCTTAGAACTTTGCAAAAGCCAACCGACAATTTCTAAATTAATATCCTTCACACATTAAAAAATATAATCCATATGCTGCACTACGAAGATAAAGTGCTACCGTTAGTGACCCCTAATCTTTATCAATGTTCTGCAAGTTCGTTTTGTTTGTTTCAGCGCTCGTTATTTATGTTGATGATCCTAATCTGCTTATATCGGCAAAGACAAAATAAGAGCTATAAATCTAGCTTGCTGAATAATCAGTGATATATTTGTGGCAAACAAGTGTTATTTCTCTTCTTGCGGGAAATAAACAGTCAATAGTTTCGTGGCTTTAAGACCATTGAATACAAATTATTTTGTCGTGTTGGTGGTATTATAAAGTAGCAAACGGCTGATAAACTAACCAATATGCGATAAACATTAAAAAGTGACGTGTATTTTATGGTATGTGACATCCAAAGTGCAGTACAGATATGTAATCAGGATTTTATAACGAGTTTTAAAATTAGTCGCTCGGTTAAAAGTCATTTTTAAACAGTAGCGTGTTCTGCGATTAAGTTATAATTGTGCGATGCATATTTTTGCAACACATTTTCGAAACCAAAGACGGTTTCATCAGATTGATCAATAATCGTTTTATTGTGCTTGGTAGAATTCTCTTTAAAAACTTAACTTGCGACGTCGCATAGCACAATTACAGCACTACCAGTTACTACAGTCAATACAGAACTGCATTTTAATTGCGGAATCATTGTAAGAATACAAAATAATACATTTAATACGCGGACTTTGCATGTTATGTGTTACAAGATTTTAGACGGAAGTAAAATAAATACCTAAGTACTGGAAAATAATCCCATGCTTTCTATTGCGTCGACAGTTGCATTAATTTCCACAATAAGGCACTAAGTCTGGTAAAACATAAAAAAGGTTCTAGAATGTGTCACTTAAAGAAACTTACCTCCGTAATTTTGTGTACTATAGAAAATATCTCTGTATCTGTTGCAAAAAAATATAGGCTCGACTAGAATGTGTAAATTTTAAAGTCGTTGGAACTACCGTGACATCTGGAATAACTTTGTTTAAGGGCAGATATAAGGTAATTACTAAAATCGAACTTCGACATGTACTAAAACTGTATAGGGAGTTAGATAATAAAAGTAATGTATAAATTCTACAGCAGACCAATGAAAAAGAGCCTTGTTGTGTTAGAAATCCTTCAAATAAGTGGTGAATATAGAAATTTTAGATTCGAAAAGGATTACAATCAAAACGAAAAAAGTTAGAAACGGATTTTGAAGAAATAAGTCACTTTATAAAGGATCAAGAAAGTTTCAAAATATTTAAATCGATGGAAAGGTACATTAACAGTTAATTGAAAATGAATTCCATGTAGTCTTCTGGGATATTTTAATGGCAACGACAATGTGGAAAGTAAGGAAGAATATTGATAATTTTCAAACCTCAAACATTCTACTGAAACAAAATAAGAAGCGTAGATGGAACGCAGATTTCTTTACTAGTTTTTTCTAAGTTAAGAATAAAATTTAAAAAACTAATAAATATATACTATACAAAAATAATAAATACAAGTAACAATTAAAAGCATAATGCTATAACGATCATAAAAGAAATAAATAACAACAGCATAAACAGGAGTAAAAGCACTAAACAACTTGACTCTAAGACTTATAGTCAGAAAAATTAGCTACAGATGAATTTGATTTTGAAATTATAAAAGTAAACTGACCAGGTATTGGCACCGTAGTCTAGAAAACGTTCGCAGGAAGTCGAAGTCGAAAGGATGACTTCGATAGGAGTGTAAGGACGTCCTAATTTCATCATAATCTGGTGTGAAGTCTAAACTGAAAAGTCGTGGGATGAAAATCAAGAGTTGTATATTACGCTGTTAGTATTTCAGAAGCTCGTAAAATGTTCAACTAGGAGCGACCGGCAATTCCTACGAATTAGTTTTTCTCCAATCGAAAAAAATAAAAGAACGTACATCAAAGGGAGAGAGGTATTTTCAATTTAAATTTAAATGCCCGAATCAAGGTTTAACTTAATGTTACTATGGACCGTAACTGTATTCTTTATTTCCTAGCACCCTTACATTATACCGAAATCAAATATTTTACGGACAGAGGACAGATCAGAAAGATTCTTTGTTCGAGTGGAGGAAAAAATGAATTACAACGATGGAGAACTGTAGACACTGTAGAGATCGTCGAAGAAGAAAATTACTGTCTTTTAATCAAAGAACATAAGATATATTAATGAGATACAAGATCTTTTTATATGTTTGTAAATGCGAAACATCTACTTACGAAGAAAACGAAGCAATGAGAGACTGGAACTTTGATGATAATTAAATTATTCATTCAAACTCTATTTCCAATAAATTATGTCTTGAATGATTCTAAAATGTGCATTGCAGCAGCTAGCACATAGTTAAATAGATTAATACAGGTTCGGCACCCAAAGAATCAGAGTGAGATTTTAAGAGCCTCATGACCCGTGAACGTAAAGTTTTACTGGAACAGTTGCAAAGTACTTAATAGTAGGACTTAATGTTGTAAAGAGTTGTTAAGTTTGAATTCAGTCGTAACAATATTTTCAGCCTCGAAATTATTGAATTTGTCCATAAGCAGTAAAATTTCATGTCCCTCAATTTAAAGAAAATTATGTGTTTTTCATTGTTTATCTGTGAAAACAAAAACAGTGGGTGATTTTCCGTCAGCACTGACGTATGCAGCCCTCAGATAATTTCGATATAGTTGCCTTAAAGCGCAACTTCGTGGTAAAAAATTTGCCGAACTATAAATTTAAGCAATAAATTAAAAACCGTGCTCCTTAGTCAACAACTTCAAGAAACATAAATTTAAAGCTATCAAGAAAAAACACATTTCCATAAGCGCAGCCAAGTAGTTTTATGAATGAATATGGGTTCTCGCCGCTTTCTAGGCTTTACTGGAGTAATTTATCGATCTACATGGGCAAGTCTTCGCTAAGTGCTTTCGCCTTAAAGGCAAAAATTAATTAAAACGATGCAATTAATAAGGCAACTTACTCCGGTGTTCCTCTTTGGAAGGTGCTGGGTAATTGCTTCGCTTGCGCTGCTCTAGCTCTGGCTAAAAGACTCATAACCGTACGTTTAGTCGGGGTCATCGATGTCCTGAGACCGCCTGCCAGCAGCGGTCTCTTGCGTCCTCCAACTCCGAGGACGCCGCCACCTGTAGCTGGACAAGTGCCAATGCCGTTGGTCGGGGAAAGTTGACTGCCGTTGGCAGGAGTTGCGCTGGCTGTCGTTTCCGTCGACGAGGGAGTTCCTAAATAGAGAACAGAATATTGAATTATTTTATACAAGAGAATATTTTGTTAGTAGCTGAAGCTGTATTCTACTTGATGGAATAATAGCAATAGTGATAGGGCCTGCTTGGCGTCCTCGACGCTCAACGAAGCGGAACAGACTATTTTTATTATTATTACCTATATCAACTGCTGTCGTATTCGAACTGGTTCAATAGCTATATTTCTTTCATACTTATATAAGTTGACCGGCAATGTATTTTACAATCAGTGTTGAGTATATCTTTCTAAAAGGGGCTACTTTTGATTTGTATAGAAAGTATCGTCATCCGGAAAAGTGTTGATTGAATTAACGTTCTGGAGGAAATATAAAACGTACGAAGAAAAATGATAACACAATTTTTACTCTCGGGAAAAGATCTTTGGCTCTGTAAGATACGAGCATAAATAAATTTTCTAACATAAGAATTCGTTTCGTGTTTATTGCTATAATAAGCAAAAGCTATTGGGAAATATGTTTAATTATATAGCAATTACCTGATCTATCTACCTGATCTACCTACCTGATCTATCTACCTGATCTATCTACCTGATCTATCTACTATACCGGGTGTTTGTAAAATGGTGGATTAACTCTTCAGTACGTTATGTGCGGGGGTTTCGGGAGTCTCCAAAAAAAAATAATAAAAAAAAATCTTTATGAAGCAGATTGCGAAAAAACGTAATTTTATAAAAATAAAATTGGCAACACTGCACGCACCTAATTCATAAATACCTTCGGCTTACTTTTTGATTTCTTAGTAACGATGGTGACTGAAATCCACCTATAATTTTTTTAGGACAATAACCATAACAACCAGTAGTCATTTAATTTTCACAACAAGAAAATTAAAACATGTTCAAAATGGTAAATTTTTATAGAGAAATATGCATTTTGCAATGAAGCTCCGCCTCTCCGTCTGTCAACGAATGAAAAATTCATTACAATTGTGATCGGGATGGGTGAATGGGGCTTAATCTTTGCCTTTTTTTTCTTAATACACTTTTCTTTCAACAGTAGAATACTTAAAATATCAAATGGTTAATTTTGGGTTAGAATTATATCCAACATTTTGTATCTTTACTATCTTATTACATTTGTGGCATTTGGCAACGCTGCGCCACTAATATAATCTGTCTTCCTGATTGGTTCCCGGCCTTGCTTTAGTAAGATCTGGGGAATTTCATTGTTGAAATTGATTCTTTTTTAGTAAGATTTGTTTGATCTGTTTTTATAGGCATACGTTATTTAGAACTTGTCTCATAAAATTTTGTGTTTGTGATTAATAAAAACTAGGTTTTGTATTAATTAAGTGTGGATCAAAAACTGATGGCAAATATTTTCGTGAAATATAAGCAGTACAAATTCGATAGCAATAAGAAACAAAAATAAACTTAAAACATGTTTAAAATGGTAAAGAAATATGGATTTTGCAATTAAGCTCCGCCCCTCCGTCTGACAAGGAATGAAAAATTCATCACAATTGAAATTAGGGTGGGTAGGTGGGGCTTAATCTTTCCCATTTCTTTCTTAATACGGTTTTATTTCAACGATAGAATACTTAAAATATCAAATGGTGAATTTGAGGTTAGAATTTTGTCCAACATCTTTATTTTTCCCATTTTATTTTATTTGTAGCATTTAGCATCTCTGCGCTATAAATATAATGATGCAAAAATTAATCTACATAACAAGTTTTACTGCCACATGTGATCATCATAATCGAGTTGTTTTAAAAAATGAACCGAAAATTTTTTTGGAAAAATTTGTCATTTTTACAATGTCTCTGTTGACCTTACTAGCGAACTAAAAACTTTTCTGAAAAGCTAGCTTAATGGTACTTTAAATCAAAATTTTCGATTTAGAACCTGATAACAATTCTATAGAAGACGGAAAAATTCGTAATTTTTGCAACGTCATCAGTCATCACTAGCCTCATTAATGAACTAAATCTTTTCTTGTTAAGTTTCTTGCTGATTTAATTGGTAACATTTTTTTAATTCCATATAATTTTTTTACAAAATCTGAAAATATTATTCCATCACTGGAATTCGTTTCGGGGGATCTAAAAAGAGACTTGTATTTTGGAGCACATGACAAAAATCGAAACTTAAAAATAAAGGTAATTTTTTCCTTAAGACACGATGAACCTAAAAATTTATAGATTAAAATTATCCATTTGAATTTAATTTCTGTAATGTGACTTCATACAAACAGTTATTGGGTACTAAGTAGTGAGCTATTAGATATATATTTTTTACATAAAGTCATATATTATTTGTTATTGTTAAAATTGATAAATTAAAAAAAAATCAGTTTGGTAATTCAACAAGTATAGTAATCGAGGATTCTTGACTCATAGAGTACGAAAAAAGTGATCTCCCGTTTCCGTCTATCTGTCTGTCTGAGTCGATTTTTATTAGACACGAAATCGCTAATGTCATTTCCAAAGTTTACAATAGTAAATTTGTTTTCAGTTTCATAAAATACGATACCCTTGCACTTGTGGTGCATGAATTCGTATTGAATTTTTACTCGAGGCGTCCAGATTTTCGGAAAAAAAAACCAAAATTTTGCAATGTGCAAAACCGAGTGCTTCGAAATTTTGCGGACGTTTTAAAGTTATCGTAAGCATGGTAAATTTTTAATCAAAATATACTTTTGGCGTATAAATCTTATTGAAAATGTGCAAAATATGAAAAGCCTATCCTTGTGATTTATCATTGTATTAATATTTTTTAGAGTTGCGTATACAGGGTAACTAATATTATTATTATTGGTATTTCACTCCACTTATCCAAACTGATATACGTATGTTTGCAAAAATATTGATGACGTCATCACAAAATGTTGTTAAAGAAAAACTCATTTGAAACATACGCATATCACGCTTCTTACATTTACTTTAATATCACACACATGTCATTATATTAATTTATAAGGATTCTCATAAAAAAATAAAATTTGCAAAATCAAATTTTATAGTTTCTCGAAAAAAATGAATATATTTTATTGTAGTGGGTGTTCAATTCAAAGATCAGTCTGAATAGGCATTTGAGTTTCACTTGACACAAACGGCATGTCTACTCTTATAACGTCGATTTAGCAGAAACATAATACATTAAGTGCAGGGCGTAAGTACAGACATGCCGTTTGTGTCAAATAAAACTCCAACGCCTACTCCTACTGATTTTTCAATTAAACACAATTCGTTAGTTTATCTCTGGAATATCGTGAACACCCTTAAGGGTACATTATTGAGGGGGATCGATAAGTACATACGAAAAGAAAAATCTTTTCGATTTGGGTGAATTTAATTTTGGACAAGATCTTTCTGCAATAATTCTGTGCTGAACTATGGAGGACGAGATTAGAAGAAGCAGTTTAGAAACTATGAGATTATAGGAAAAATCTAGTCAATAATAGAAACAGTAGAAAAAATTTGACTTTAGAATGTCGAGTTAAATAAATTGTTCAAGAAGAATGTAAGTGATTTTAGTCTAAAACTAGAACAGACACGAATATTCGACTTCCGTTCGATAAAAAAGTTAGCAGACATGAATTTAGAAAACTGTTTACAGTATTCTATTTTGAAGTAAGATTAATCAAAAGAATATGGATGGTAGTACAAGGTTGAATTTAAAGTAAGTGCGAGGATAACTTGGAAAAGTTTTTAGGTATGAATTTACCTTGTTTCGTTAGTATATTGGGAACATGTTAGTCATTTTTTTTTGCGTTATATAAAGAGATACGGGGAAAGTAACCACAGATTCATGATTCGGGGAAACTTTCCGATAAGAGACGTATTTTAGCATCGATATTTAATATTGATTTTTACATAAAAATGGTGGACGCGCCGGGAATAACAATTTCAAAAATATTTATTTCAATTTTTTTTAAAGAAGTTCTGCGATAATTCTATTCAGAAAGTCAAAGAAAATTTACGAATTTGTTAAATCAAACTGCGCTTCTTAACCATTTTTTCTGGATGCCACAGCATAAATCCAAGCAGATTTCATTCTTTTCATAACGGACGCATATTATGTATATCAGTTCTTAAATTTATTCGAATATAGTCCAACTAAGCATAATAATTTTCACATAAATCTTGTGGTCTTAACACAAAAAAGGTTTGTGAAACTCAGACAGGGCAACGCACTCCGACCTAATCTATTTTGCCTAAGTATGTAAAAAGTTTATTAAATTTTTATACTTGTTCGGTAAATCATTATTTTAAGTCAAGTACTTTTGTGTTAGATAGAGCTATCATAAACGACTATAGATACAATAATAATAAAACAAGGCGGCATGTTTAAAAAAAATCACCACGTACGAGAGCAAATGGTAACCTATAAAATCCCGACATTAATTTCAGCCTGATATATTTGTTATTACGCTTTAATTATGATTTTAGTTTCCCATTTTTATCACCCTCTCGTAACAGGCAATAACCCTAGTTTCATTATCTACAGACAATAATTTACAGGTCTCTTAAACAAACTTTCAAACGTATTGTATTTTTTTTGAGGAACACGACCAGCTCAGCTCAAACTTGATCAAAGAAAACGCATAGCTGCATAGTATAGAAAATCGGAACTGTTTCGATTCTACAAAGTAATATATCATCTGTGTAACGTTCACAGACACCGAAAGAAAGACTCCTTTGTCTTATGATTAATTTTGGTTTAGAAACGCTTGCCGTTCTGATTGCTTTCTCAGCTATGCGAGAAATCAATGAAGGGTATTTTATAACCCCTGGAGGCAAGTAAAGCGACGATCGGCAATCATTTTTACCGACGCTCTGTCTGCTGGTAATCAATGTCAATCTCTTGCTGAAAATCACTGGACGAATTAAAATCAAACTTGTGAGAATAAAACAGTCAGAAATAAAAACTTGGACCTACGCTTTCTAAAATAAGAGATGGAAATTAAATTAGCTTTCTTTTTTTGCTATTTGCAGACAGCTTTCAACCCCAATAT